CAAAGAAAAATTATAAACCTTCACATCACAATAGTAAAGAGGACAAGCACAAATACTCAGCATATACTAAAACAACAGCAACAACGAGAATGATAACACAATTCATAAACAAAAAAAAAAAAGGGGACCAGGTTTGCTGGTTTGATAGAGCCTGGTGGAACCACTGAGACTATGGTCCCTAGCTGCCGTTCAGGTCTGTAATTGAACCCACACCTGTGGCTTCTGGCCAAAGAAAAGACAGGCGTAAGAGCTGAACATTGTGGTAGTTATGTTTGTGTGTCAACTTGGCTGAGCCTGGTTGAGTGGCTGGGCAGCTGGTGGTAATTATTCCCCATGAGACTGGCAATCAACTCCATGGTGGGATCTAACACAAGCAGATGAGTAGCTGCCTTTGGGATGTGGTGTGCTTCCTTTTTATAAGGAGAAGCTTCGGGAATGGTCTCTAGCCTATGGCACGCATGGACCCTGCATATAACCATGTCATTGACCTTGGGACTTACAATGGACTTAAGTTAATAGCCTGCTATGTGGTTTGGTAACATCGGGACTGTGCCTTTTTACTTGTCAACCTTGGGGTTTCTCAGTCTCAGTAGCCAGCAGCTGTCTGAGTGAAGAAATGCCTCTAACTCCAGTGGGCCAGGAGCAGGAGTCAGAGCTGGATCCCAGCTCCTAGAGCCTGGTACTTTGAACTGGGACTTAAAGCCTCCAAATTGTAAGAATAAATTCCTGTTTGTTAAGGCCATACCATTTGTGGTATAGTCTTGTCAGAGCAACACTAGGTAACCAGAACAAACATGTACCTGAGGTAGATACACTCCTTGGAGAGAACAATCATGGGAGAAAGAAAGGCTGTTTATGCATAGGGAGACAGCTCAGGAGGCAGGAGTGCATGGAGGGATGGACTCAAGGAAGAAGTAACTATTGGGAGGAAGTGGGAGGGGAGCTGTTACGGGGTGGGGTGGTGGTGGTTAATTGTAGTCAATGTCATGAGACAATGTGTGTGTGAACTGCTCTATGGAAAGTGAATTTGCTCTGTAAACTTTCACCTAAATCACAATTCAAATATAAAAAAAAAAAAGTGTTTCATGGAGAAAGGGGAAGAACCTTAGCAGGGAGGGGCCGTGGCCCTACACAGAGCCACACAGGTCAATTCAGGTGATCTAGCTTGGTGGGATCTGTTAGGCAGACTGGAGGTACCTGATTCCTTACCTTTGCTCACAAGGTCTTTGGACAACAGCCATTAGGACTATTCATGTGGTCCAGCCCTGGCACCCACAGCACCTAGGCAGCAGCATCTGTGGTCCTACTTTGGGATGCACACACATTCCATGGGCAAAAAGCTAGGGCAGAGGATTGTCACCATGATGGGGTAGAGTATAAGAGACTTACCCAGGGAGGTCATGAGCTTAAAGTTCTCTAGCATCACCTCACAGTACAGGTGCCTCTGGGCTGCATCAAGGAGCTCCCACTCCTCCCGGGTGAAGTACACAGCCACATCCTCAAAGGTCACTGGGCTTGGCAACGATGGAACAGCTGAACCAGGGAGACAATAGGTAGGCTAAAAAACAAACCCAAGAAGTCAAATCAATACATTTGGGCCCTTGACCAGTGACACTCAGGTCTTGCCACGTCTACCTTGGTCAGTTCCTCTTCTCATGCCCCTCACTCTGTGCGCCCCACACTTACTCAAAGCTCTTTCTCCTCCCCACATTCCCACCTCAGAAAAGATAACAGGCCTTGGCATCAATGGTAGTGTCCTTCTCTCTTCATAGTCCTACTGGTCACTCACTGCATCCAGGCCAACCAAAGCCAGAGAAACAATAGGCAGGTAGCCAGATGGACACAGCATCCCACCTGCTCCTGCTGGCCAATTTCCCTTGTGTCCCCAAATAATACCTCCCAAACACAAGAACACTTGGGCTTATCCTTCTGTCCTAAGGCAGAAGTACCAGGCTCCTGGGCCTATTAGTCCACACACTCCCACCTTGTACCTGTCACTCTTTGGAATATATCATCCTCACTTACATCCCCAGTAAGGCTCTCCTCACTGACTGAAAGCTCTCCTCACTGACTGAAACCAGTGCTATTTCCCCCAACCTGGCACCTGGATGGGAATAGATAGTAGACTGGATTACCCCCAATTATTTCCCCCACCCTGGTTAAGACAGATAATTAGATAAGATCCCAGGGGAATAAGTAAATTGGATTACCCCCAACCATTTTCCCAACCCAGGCAAATGAGTTCCTTAAAGAATTGAATGGAAAAAATTCCTTCCTGCAGATGATGGACTTGCTAAAAGTATTTTAGAAATAACTTGTAAATTAACTCTGGCCAGGGACAATAGAAATGTTTTAGGAACAACTTATAAATGAACTCTGGCCCAAGGACTTAAGGAAACAAAAGTTAATTGCTGACCCTCTCCCCTCTACCCAAGCCCCTATCAGCTGATAAGAAACTAGTGACTCCTATTTCATGTTCACACCTCAAATTCCTCAACCTTTTGTGAATATGCACAACTCCCTCTCCTGAAACCTACAAAAAACTGTTTAGATGAGGGAGTTAAGATCTGGGTACTAACTATTCCTAACTCCTTGCACTGCTGCTTTGCAATAAATAATTTTCTCTCCTCGGTGGGCAAACTGTTTTGGCCTGACTGTGCACAGGGCAGGGACCCCGCGTTTGGTCCGATAACATGACCATGCCACAGGCATCTCTGTATATCCCCATGTGGCACTGTGCACATAGCACATCCGACAAAGGCAAAGCTTCATGGCATCAAACCTGAGGACCAGCTCCTCAGCCTGCCCCCTGCTCTGTGTTTCCACCAAATATAACGGACACGCGGTCCCCGGAACACTCCCACCTGTTCCTCACCTCCAGGGACTTTGCACATGTCCCTATACCCTGGACACCCTTCCAGGCCTAATCCCATAGGATTCCATAAATGAGGACCGCTCCGTGTAACGCCTGGCCCAGATTCTAAACGCTCTCAAGGCCCAGAATCACGGGATATGGGCGGTCAAGGAGACGCAGGGCACCATCATCCCCTGTCTTGGGGCTTCAGGATCACGAGGGCGACGGGATCCAGCAGGCGAGGGCTTGGGGCACCCTCCACTCACCTGTGCGGGGTCCATCAGCGATGCTGCCAGCCCCATCGGAACCTCTGGACCGGGCGGGCCGCTGAGGGCGGGGAAGACCCAGACCCGCAAAGCAGGCCCAACAGAAAGCCCTCTCCTCACTGGGTAGGTGGCGCGGGCCGACTCCCGCACTCCCGACTTGAGCTTTCCCGGCGTACAATGCGCCCAGAACCAGGAAGGCTACGGTGACTGAGAGCGGGTACGGAGGCCGGGAGATTCGCGGCACCTTTTCTGCAGCCGGGAAACCGAGGCTCACGGAGGCGCAGCCGTTCGCCGGGAATCGCTGAGCCTACACAGGCACGGTGAGGGGCCTGGCCTTGTGCCCCGTTCCCTTCTCTTCCGTCCTTGCAGCCCCCGGGAAGGCGGCCCTGGCCGGAGGGTCGGTTCCCGTGGCCGTGTGAGGGCTCCCTCACAAACCGCAAAATAAGGACGGCCAGGACGACGGCGGAAGTCCCACCCCACGCGCTGCTGTCCTCGCTGAAACGCCCCTGGTCCGAGTCTTGATTGTGACAGTATTTCCTCCAGCCCTTTGAGGTGCTGCTTGGTGGTTGCCAAGGTGATCGCGACGGGCGAGAAACGGTGGAGGAGAAGCGAACTACATTACCCGAAAGGCCCCTCGCCGCGTGTAGACATTGGCATTGGCCAATGAGAGCAGGAGAGGTTTTCCGCCCGGGCCACGCCGGCGGGGGTGGGACTTCGGTGCGTCCTTCTCTGACCATTATTTTAGCAGCTCGCTGTTCTGTCTACAAACTGTGGAGAGACTGGGTCGCCGGCTCAGGCCGGGCCAGGCTGGCGTCTCAGGAGGTTCTCCGGACGCGTTCTGGAACAGTGTGTGTGGGGAGATGGCCCTGTAGCGCTTTCCGGGCTCACAGCGCGGGAGTGTCGCTGGGGTCCCCTCAAAAGTCCATCCGTGCCCTTCAGGTGCTCTGGAGTTGTAACCCTTGGCGTTGCGTCTACTTTACAAGCAGGAAACGGAGATTCAGAAAACAAGGCCATTCTGAAGTTACCCAGCCAATGGCGGCGGGGCTGTGGCCTTGATACGTGAGCCGGTCGGGTTACCACTTGGAAAGGAAGGGCGCCTCGGGCCCTAACCGACTAGGCTCTGAACCTCAGCTCCTGAGGCCCCGACTGAGCAGCGCCTGCCTGGGGTCTCGGTGTTCAGAATTGTGGGGCGTATACAGGCGCCATTTCAGAATCCAGTATGATGAGATGTGGAGGATGTTACCGGCAGAGGGATCTCCGTGTACAAAGGCTTCACCTAAAACGGCTTTCAACGGTGTGATAATGCATACATAGGCAGTTGACTTATCTCTGATGTTGGAGGCGTGATTACCCGCTGGAGTGAGTTCAGAACCGAGCGCGGACGTTTTCAGGGAGACTGGCCATCAGGGGCCCCAACAGCACCTGACTCAGAGGGCACAGTAACAAAGCATGGAGCCTGTCTTGGTCCAGTGGTGGCCCACTTTGTATTTCTACCTTATTCCCCCCGGGAAAGGTGAAAGACTCTGTGTTCTGAATCTTCCAGCGTGGACCTCACCTGGGGAAGGGACTAGTTGGCCTAAGACCCTATCGTGTCTGGAAGCCACGTTGCCTCTGGTCCAGGGGCTGTCTACCCCCAGCAATGTTGTTCTCTTGAACATGGTCAGAAGTTAAATCCTCTGGAGGTACCCTGATAGCATGTCACCTACTAGTATTCCTACAAGGATCTGGTGAGTATCCTAAGTGGGTAAGGAAAGACTGGATGTGAGAAATAGGATGTGGGGGAGCCTGCAAGCTCCTTTGTTGAGTGGGTCTGTGCAGGATGAGGGCGTGCAACATCTAGAGGGCTATAGACCCCCGTGTCTCCCACAGCTCTGTGCATTCCTGCCGTCTTCCAGTCGGCTGGGTACTTTTGGCTCCCATCTGTGGTCAGGAACTCCGGGACTGTGAGAAGAGAAAGCTCAGTCCTTTCCTTTTTTTTAAGTTTTATTGAGGTATAATTTACACCCACTCTAAGTGTACAATTTAATGATTTTCAGTAGTGTTACAGAGTTGTGCAGTCGTCACCCCATCACAGTTCCACTGCCCTCCCAAATTTATCTGAGTGCAAAAAGGGCACGAGGTCATCATCCTCTAAGCTCTTCCAGCCTCATGAGAGGGAAAGAGAATTGCTCAGCAGCCCAAGGTTTATTCCTGTGAGGCTAGACATGCTGCCACCCTCCAGCCTTTATCAATTCTGACATCAGCCATCCTTCCCATGGCACTGACTACTTCTCTGCTGCATTCAAAAATTCATTGCAATGGCCATACAGACTCACAGGCAACACTCACAATTATGGGATTTATTATGGAAGTTACAGGTTTAAATTCAGGTTCAGGAACACATTCAGGATAAAATTCTTTGATTAGGACAGTCTCTCATGCTGTGTCCACAGACATGCCTTCCTATAGTCCTTGGCCTCTTGGCCTGGCCTCTTTGGCTAGGGCGAGTGTTATAAAGCTCTTTGAGCTCTGCTGATAGATGGACCCCATTCTGCCAACAAGCTTTCTGCTCAAAGCCACTCAGCTCTGTCACTCCATAGACCTGCAAGTCTGCCACTCTGTTTCATGCTGGTCTCTTGGTTCTGCTGCTGCTGCTGCCACCATCTCTCTGCCACCTGAACAGGGCTCTTGGGTCCAAGGACGCACTTCTCTTTCTTGATAGTAGTGAGGGCCCCATTTTCCTCCTCTGGGAGAGCTCATTTCAAGCCTAGTGAAATGATAGAACTGACCAGTTCCCATACTAGGGTTCCATATACCTTATTTCCATGGACCCACCCCCACAAGGGTGCCATCCATATACCTTACATTACTAACAAGCTATCCAATCCCCTTGGTGGGCCACAAGCACCTTACATTTGTATAGTTGCACCCAGTCACCTGGTGGGTGCCACAAAGACCATGTCTAGCAGAGCTATCCAAGTAATTGACTGCATCACACTGGACTTGTTTGCAGCTGAAACTTCTTCTTAGGCAACCAGTAACCTACTTTCTGTCTCTCTAGATTTGTCTTTTCTGGACATTTCACGTCAGTGGGATTGTACAATCTGTGGTCTTTTGTGACTAGCTTCTATCACATGTTGTTGTTGTTGTTGTTTGCCATCAAGTCGGATCTATCACATAGCACAATGTTTTTAAGTTTCATGCATGTTGTATCAGTACTTTGCTTCTTTTCATTGCTGAATGGTATCCCGTTGTATGGATACACAGTTAACTCTCATCATTCATGGTAGTTACATTTGATAAAATTGCTGTCAGTAGTGAGTTAGGAAACACCGGACCACTACTTAGAGGAAATACAGGCATAGGTTCATAACATTCTTGTCAGCTGATTAATAGGTAACTTTGTTTCATCTGGGTTTCTGTTTAAAGACCTCTTTTTCAGTCTGTATTGTTGGTTCATTAACATTGAATTCATGGGCAACCGCACTTCTCTGACACACTTTCTTCAAGGCACACCACAGCCCCTTCACACTTAGAACTCTAGACAGCAGTTCAGCACTCTGCTTGGGGGCCACTTTTCACCAGTGAGATCCCTAACAAAAAGCACAAAAATGTAAAAAACATGGTACCAAGTAGAATGCCAAAAGGCCACTTGTTTATAGTATGAGAGCTCAGACTAGAAGGCAGAGTGTCTCCTGGATAGAGTAGGAGAAAAATGTGGAACAAAACTCAGAATCAAAAAGACCAGGCTTAGTGGTCTGGTAGAGACTGATGAATTTCTGAGACTATGACCCTTAGACACCCTTCAAGCTTGAAATTGAACTCACCATTTTGGCTCAATTTTCAGCTAAATTATAAGCCCATAAGGTGAATGATAACATGAGGGAGGTATGTACTCCTTAGAACAGTCAACCACAGGAGAAATCAAAAGGGCAGTATTTGCCCACAGATAAAGCTCAGAAGGCAGGAAGGAATAGGACAGAAGGATGAAGGGAAATAGTAAACACAGGGAGGGAGTAGGAAGAGTGCTGTTAACACTGTGGGATTGCAATCAGTGTCACAAAGCAAAATGTGTATGAATTGTTGAATGGAAAACCAATTTGCTTAGTAAAACTTTCGCCCGAATTAAAAAATAAAGGCAGAGTGTCACCTTGGTCAGCTTCAGCTGGGAACATGGACATCAGGCGACTCAAATTTTTCATTGCTGGGGAAGCTTAATTCAAACAAAAGCTCCTGCCAACCCACACAGACTCTTCACTAAAGCAGAAGAATATTCTATTAGTAAGCATTAAACCAGAATGTGAGGTGCATCACAGGCAATCCAATCCGCTCACGAGTTTGCAGAGACAGAAAGGAATTTCTCCTTTGTGTTGCCAAGCAGATGCAACTCATTTCACATGTTGTCATAATAAAGAACTCCTCTTCAAGTAAGAGCACATCTTGTCATGTATCCTTCATCCTGCATTCACCCCGAAACAGCCATGTGTGCTAATTGTCTTTATCCAAAGGGAAAAAGTAAAATTCCGTATTACCAGGTTGGGCACTGGGAGTTAGGCTTTTGTCTTCCCCAGGAAGCTGGCGGGAGGAGTGTGTCTTCCTTGATTGCTTACATTCCAGGTCCCTGATGAAACCCTCCAGGTTTTAAAATTGGCCAGAGGCTTTCTGACTTTAAAAAGATTCACATATACTTCAAAGCAGCGGAGAAAGAGCTTCCAAGTTCCCTAAAGTAAATGCTTTAAAAGAGGGAAGGGGAAGTGGCTCCCCTTTTTTTCAACAAGGAGAATGAAGCTGCTTTCTTTTCCTGAATGTGTGTGTGTTCTTACGCTATGTCCAGGAATCACCACCAGGGCAGCATGAGAATTGGTTTTGGAGTTGCAAATCTTAGTGAGCAGTGAATCCACAAGTTCAGAATCCACAGACAGTGAGGAGTGAGTACCACATTTTGTTTGTCCATCACCATTTGATGAGTTTTTGGATGGTTCCCGGTTGGTTTTTGGCTGTTATGGTTATGCTCTCAAGATTCACTGATAAATCTTCATGTGAACATGTTTTCATTTCTCTTGGGTTTTAATTTTCATTTTCCTAATGAATCAAATGATGTTGGGCATCTTTTCATGTGCTTATTAACCTCTGTGTATCTTCTTTGATGAAATCTCTATTCATGTTTTGCCCATTTAAATTGAGTTGTACAAATCATTTATATATTTGGGGTTCAAATTCTTTATCAGACACATGCTGTATTACACAATGGAATACTATGCAACACTAATGAATAATGTAGAATCTACAAAACACCACATAATATGGATGAACTTGGAGGACATTATGCTGAGGGAAATGTCAATGACAGACATGCTGTATTTTCTTCCAGTTTGTGGCTTGTCAATACACATTTTAGGATCAGCTTGTCAATTTCTACCAAAAAATTCAGCTGGGTATGATACCACTGGCACTATGCCCTCCCTGGATGCCTGGACACCAAGCCTGACCCCAGCCAGAAACTAGTTTGTTCCTGGAGACGTTGTGTCTCGGGCATTCTGACCACCCTAGTCCCCGGTCTATTTAGATTTAACTCCCAGTCTGCTGACTGCCCACTGCACTTGAGACCTGGCCCTTCCAACCCTCCTCAGGCTTTCACTACACCCAGGACCCCCTTGGAACTCCCGCTCCAACCCAAGGTTGCAGTCGGTTTTGATGCCCCTGTGAAAATTTGTTAAGTACTCAGAATTTTTTTAAGATTATCATCTAAGAGTTAGGTGAACGGTGGACACAAGACCACAGCGCCTTCCAGAGTGGGGCTGACTCTGCTGTCAGTGATTTGCCATCTGGCCTGCCTATGGGGATAGAGTGTGCTGTCCTTTGCTTCTTGCTTCCCTCTGCTGAAATCCCAACCTGAAACAGGGTTGGGAAGGCCCTCCACACTTCACCCCGATTTCACGAGCCCACTTAGACCCCCTCTGCCACAAAGGATGTCTCTGTTCTTAAAAGACCCAAGCTGACTGCCTCCAGGGCTCTGTTCACACACTACTCAGTATTGGGCTTGTTCCCTTCCCCATCTTGTTACCTGGGAAAATTCATATTCATCAGTCAAAGTAATGGCCAGGACGTTAATGAAATAACAGCAGTGAATATTTATTGCTTTCTGAGTACCAGTTCTGGGTGTAAACACTTAATTCATTTGATCCTCCCTACGACCATATGAGTCAAGGACTAGAGTTGATACAGTGGTAAGAGCATGGCTCCTGCACCTGTACTGATGGTTCTAATTCTAGCTCCAATATTCACTCATCAGACTAAATAGCTTGCCTATAGGGTAGACTCTTAGACCCTTGTCACTGCTGACAGGCAGCAGACAATTCACACTGGCAGAAGCACAGCAGATGCAGGAAAGCCTACAGCTGGTTCTGACACCAGCCAACACGAGTGTTCAAAACTGCTAAGGAGTACTGCAAATGTGGGAACCTTCAGCCAAGAGGTAGTCAGTGCTGCACATTTGTCTGACACCACGATTCACATCAGAGAAAGGCATGTGATCCAGACGTACCTGTGACAGCTGCTATGACCTTGTCAGTATAAAAAGACTGACATTTGAGAGCAGCCCTAGAGAGGAGCATTTCTGAGACAGCCAGATGTAAAGGAACTCTGGTGGCATAGTGGGTAAAGCATTTGGCTGCTAACCAGAAGTTCGGCAGTTCAAACCTACCAGCTGCTCCGTGGGAGGAAAATGAGGCAGTCTACTCCCATAAAGATTAATAGCCTTGGGAACCCGATGGGGGTCGCTGGGAGTCAGAGTTGACTTGATGGCAGTGAGTTTGGATTTTGGTTGTTGGCCACATGGCATCTCAGGGACCAGAACACCTTCACTGAGGAAACAGCCTGAGTGTCATGTATGTGGGAAAGCTTCCAGGGACTTTGTTGTATTTTCTGACTGGGTGAGAGACCTGGGAAGTTACCAGGCCTGTCACAGAACTGTCTTCAATCCACCTGTTGGGATGTTCAAATCATGGTGCTTTCATGCCCTTGAGAGCACTCAAGCACTGCAGTCCCTTGGCTTCCTCTTTCCAATGTCCAGGTTAGGATGGACATGATGGGCATAACCCAAGGGGCTATGGATAGGGAAGGGATCCTGAGTGGGAGTCTGATGATGAATTCTGGAGGTTTCTTCATCATAGATACTGCCAAGTTTGCATATCACACCTGTGATGGATTTGATGAGCCTTATGTATTAGTTTTTCATGGCTGCTGTAACAAATTACCACAAACTCGGTGGTTTACAACATGAATTTATTATCTTTCAGTTCTGTAGGTTAGAAGTTTGACATGAGTTTCACTGGGCTAAAATCAAGGGATGTGCTCCTTTCTAGAGACTCTAAGGGAGTCTGTTCCTTGCCCTCCCCAGTCTCTATAAGCTGCCCATTCATAGGCTCCTTCCTCCGTCTTCGGAGCCAGCGGTAGGTCGAGCTCTCACTTCACATCAACCTGATCTCCTTTCCTGCCTCCCCCTTCTGCTTTATGGACCCCTGTGATTACAGTGGGGCCACCTCAATGATCCAGAACAATCCCTCCCTCTCAAGTTCCGTAACTTAATCCCATCTGCAAAGCCCTTTTGCCATGTAACATATCCTCAAGGCCTGAGGATTAGAACATGCCTATTTTTCTGCCTCATATACTCTCAATCAGTCAATCCTCAAACCGCTTTGGACTGATACCTGTCAAAAACCAAACCCTTTGCCTTCAAGTTAATTATGATTCATAGTGACCCTGTAGGACTGAGTAAAATTGCCCCAGAGGGTTTCCAAGGTTGTAATCTTTATGGATGCAGATTGCCGGGTTGGGCATCCATTCCCATGGAGTGGTTGGTGGATTTGAGCCAGTGACTTTTTGGTTAGCAACCATGTGTTTAACTGCTGCACTACCAGGGTTCCTTGTCTTCTTTTAAACCTTACTATATCTTTTGGAATCATTTTATCATGTAGGGTGGATTGAAGGGTGATGGTATTTGAGGGTCTCTCTAGTTTGTCTGACTCAAAGTGAACTCTGGGCATCAGGGCATGACTCTCTTCCACTTATGCTGCTACACGGTCTCTTGTTAAACTATGTGGCCTAAAAACTGTGAGCCATGGACTCCACTCATTTTGAGGAAGGGTTCTATTAGTCTAAGACTGTCAAGTTGCCTGGAAGCAAATTATTGCTAGAGGATGTATAAAGCTCCCCATAAGTGCTGAGGAGAAACTGTCTTCTGGGGTCAAGTCAGAGTCATGACCCAAGAGTCAGGTGTCCCCAAATGTGAGACCTACAGTGGCCAGGCAAGTACCTAAGATGAATAAAGAAATACTGGATATGAGGTAATAAGGACAGAGAGAGACTGTGGGAAACTAGAGGGACATGCCTCAACCACATAGGCAGCTATACTGCTCCAGTGCCAACCAGGAGGGATGCAGTGTGATGTCACTGGATGTGGAATTGAACACAAGTGACTCTTGTGGGGAGTATAACCTTGCTCAAGCACGCTACTAGACATAACTCCTCTTGTATGCCACAGCCCCCTCACTCCCTGTGACTTCAAGCCCAGTATTTCTATATTGACAATTCTGACTTGGCCTCTGTAGATCTTATAGGCAGTGATGCCTGCCTATGGATTCTCAACTTCAGGGGCAAATCCCAGGAGACAGCTACCACACAACACTGCTAAGGACTCCCAGAATTCCCTGGGGACAAGGGACTCAACTCCTACTGCTGCAGGAACTATCGGAGACTGCCACACCAAATACTCAATTCTTGGGGTAAGCTCTGAGTCCTGGCATTCGGGACACAAGATTGGCCTACAGAGAACTTCAGTCTTTCCCAAGGAGGCTTTGGGCTGCAAAGAAGTTAGGTTAAACTAGGGAGCTCTGGTAGCATAGTGGCTAAGACACTTGCCTGCTAACCAGACGGCTGGCGGTTCAAACCCACCAGCCACTCCTCGGAAGGAAGGTTGGGCAATCCTACTTCCGTAGTGATACTGCCTCGGAAACCCAAGGAGGGGTCGCTATGAGTCGGGTTTGACTCAACGGCACATAACAACAACAACAACAAGGCTGAAAGCTGTTCCCCATCATCCTGCTGTCTCCTATGAGGCACATGAACTGCACACCCCCACTCCCTTTACCCACTTCACACTGGCAGAGCCCGATTCTTAACCCCTCCCTACGCACAATGGATGGAGTCCCTGGGATTAAAGATTGCTTATACAATAAGGCTTTTATTATCACAAACTGTGGAGCAGTGTAAGGCAGGCAGTTCCAAGGCTAGGTGATTTGGTGGCCTGACGTACCCACTGCTGGTATCATGTATACACTCAACGATGCCCGTGAAGAGGGGAATCCTCTGGGAGTCATCAGAGGACTCCAATTCAGATTTTCATGGACAGAACCAGGTCAGGGCAATATCACTGAGACAGAGGAAAGTTGAGAAATAAAATCACTGCAGATGGCTCATATTACTCATGGTTTCCTCCAGAACCAGTGAGCAAGCACAGAGGTCTGCCTTCCCTGAGTACTGTGAGAGAAAAACATACACTGAAGACCTGCCAGCTGGTAGGGTGACATGGCATCTGCCATAGGCACTGGCAGTGACATATCTGATAAAGGACCTGGGCAGGTTAGGAAGTATACCGTTGCTCCTGAAAGCTTCTCACCTACCTGGCACTCAAGGACAATTTCTCCAGTGAGGTTTTGGGATGTACAGGTTTCCATTTTTGGGTGATGGCATCTTCACAGAGGATCCTCTCATAGAACTTTTCTCAGGAGTGAGTTCTTTTGTGCTGAACTAAGAGAAAGCCACAGCTTTCCCACATTCACTGCACTGCTATGGCCCTTGTCTGGTGTGATCTTTCTGGTACTGAATGAGGCTGAAAGCCTTTCCCATGTTCACTGTACTCGTAAGAATTTTTTCCAGTGTGAACTTTTTGGTGCTTAGAAAGGTTAGAGCTGTAGCGGAAAGCTTTACCGCATTTGTTGCACTCATAAGGCCTTTCTCTGGTGTGAACTCTCTGGTGCTGACTGAGGATAGAACTTTCACTAAAAGCCTTCCCACACTGGCCACATTCATAAGGCCTTTTTCCAGTGTGAACTTTCCGGTGCTTAGCAAGGTTAGAGCTATAGCTAAAGGCTTTCCCACATTCACTGCATTCGTAAGGCCTTTCTCTGGTGTGAACTTTCTGGTGCTGAATAAGGGCAGAGCTTTGACTGAAGGCCTTCCCACATTCTGAACATTCATAAGGTTTTTCTCCAGTATGTATTCGCTGGTGTGGAACGAGGTTGGAGGGACAGCTGAAGGCCTTCCCACATTGGTTACACTTGTAAGGTCTTTCTCCAGTATGAATCCTTTGATGCAAAACAAGTTTGGAGGTTTGGCGGAAGACTTTCCCACATTCACTGCACTCATAAGGCCTTTCTGTGTTGTGAACTTTCTGGTGCCGAGCAAGATGGGAGCTGTTAATGAAAGCTTTTCCACACTCACTGCACTCGTAAAGCCTCTCTCCAGTGTGTATTTTCTGGTGCTGAACAAAGCTGGAGATACAACTAAAGACTCTGCGGCACTGTCTGCACTCGTAAGGCCTTTCTGTGTTGTGAACTTTCTGGTGCCGAACAACATGGAAGTTGCGAGTGAAGGCTTTGCCACACTGGCTGCATTCATAAGGTCTTTCTCCAGTGTGAATTCTCTGGTGCTGACTAAGTGAGTGCTTACGGGTGAAGGCTTTCCCACATTCACTGCACTTATAATGTGTTTTTCCAGTGTGAGCTTTCTCATGCATCCTCAGTAGAGACAGGTGACTGTAGGCCTTTCCACATTCCTTACACACACGGGATGTTTCTCCAGCATTAGACTTTTGGGGAATAGTAAGGGCTGATTTCTCCTCGAAGGCATTTCTACCTGTCAGGCACCTACAGGGTCGCTCTTCACAGTGAGTTATCAGGTGGTCAAGGAGAGCAAAGGCCTTTAAGAAGACCTTCCCGCAGTTGCCGCATTTGAAGTGCTTCTGTCCAGGGTGGTCTCCCTGCTCCTGCCCAAGACTAGAGCTGTTTGGGAAGACCTCCTCATATTCAGTGCTCCTGGACGGCTTCCCCTCACTGTGGGTGGCTTGGTTCTGGAGGAGGTCATGGCTGTCCTGGACATTCTGACCAAATTCCCTGCATGGGAAGGGCTTCTCTGACAAGGGGACACTGAAGCTCTTCATAGATAAGGACCTATCCCTGTGCCATCTGAAGGGTTGCTCTCCACTGTGCTCCTTCTGGTGCTGGTGAAGGTGTGCAGTGATCTGGAAGCCTCGCCCACATGTTTCACATGTGTATGTTTGCTGCCTGGGGTGTGTTCCCTGGTGCTCAGCCAGGTACCAAATGTCTTTCAAGACTGGGTCACAACTGTTACAGATTCTGGTCTTCTGGGGGCAAGACCCTTTCTCAGGGGTCCCAAACTTGAACACTCCTGTAGAAACACCATGCTCAGGTGGGGCCTCTTCTCCATGCCCACAACCTAAAAGCAGAGAAATGCTGGTGAGGTGTATGTAGATTCTGTTGAGAGAGGGGCACCCCTTCACAAACATGTGTCTGACAAACTCTGGAATGAGTTGGTGGGATCAAGTCAGGATGATGAAGGGCTGAGCCCAGGCAAGCCACAGAATGAGGGAGCCTTCACCAGGTTTGAGAACACAGGGGTTCAGGCTGAGAGGAGAGGCTGGGTCTCTAACTATTCCATTTTCAGAAAGAGCAGACACAGGCATGTTCCAAGAAGTCTGTCAGGAAAAGGGACTCAAGAGTCATGTATACAAGCCCAGGAAAATTCCAGTCACAGCTTGGTAACTGATGCATAAAGTGTGCATCTCATAACACAATGAGTTAGGGCCAGTGTGGGGAAGCCCTGCAAAAGGAGCACAGGAAGGAGGAAAGGGTGAGAAATAGAGGCCAGGGAGGGAGAGCCATCCAGGGGCTGGAAGTCAGAATAGAAATGGAAAGAAGGTAGAGTGTCCCAAAAGGGACAGAAACACCGGGAGTAAGATGTGGCTGCTGGCCCAGCAACAAAATACAAGTAGACACAGACACAGCATAGGTATGATACCTGATGTCACCTTCTCTCCTGCTCCCACTCACCAGGGCCAGGCCCCCTCTGGGCCACTCTTGTTGTGGCTAGAGACACGTCCACCCTATCAGGCATCCAGGGCTCTTTGTCACGCTCCAGCTGGGCAATCACACAGGACTTGGAAGATGCAAGTCCTGAGGGAAAGACAGGATAGGTGAATATCCAGCCCTCGTTCAGGGCAACCCACCCTGTGCCAGACCAAAGGGAGCTCATGCCATCTTTGCAACCAGGAAGAAAACTCCCTATTACAAAATAAGCCTCTGAGGAACATCTCTCAGGAAAAGTGCAGTGGTGCTGACAGTGACCATGTTGGTGCCTACAGTTCCTAGCAGCCAGGCTCCCAGAAACATCTGACTGAAAAAGGGGGCAGCACCTGGTCACAGAGGTGCCATCAATCTGGACAGACTCAGGCAGCCTGACTGAGACTCCTGACCCCTGAACCCTTCTCACAAGGCTTGAGACAGGGTGTGTTGAGCGTCTCACGAAGAGGGGTAGGTTGTGCATGCAACCCAGCCCTGCACACACACACAGCGACTTGGAAGGACATAAGACCTGTGTTCTGGCTATGGGATGGGGGAAGAGTGTCCCCTGGGCAAAACAGGAAGGGCAGAGCCTAGGACAGAAGACTAAGGTGGGTGTGAGGGCCTTACCCAGTGAGGCCACAAGTGAAAAGTTCTCCAGCATCACATCTCGGTACAGGTGCCTCTGAGCCTCATCAAGGAGCCCCCACTCCTTCCAGGAGAAGTACACAGCTACGTCCTCAAAGGTCACCCGACCCTGCCGTGATGGGGACAGCTAAGTGACTGGACCAAAGGGCAGCAGCAAAATGGACAAAAACAGTGCACAAATGAACCCACGCAAGCCCTTGGCCCAGAACCCAGCATCCCACCACCTCTCTGAAGGGAATGTCTCCTCCTCCATGACCCCAGACCACTGACCGCCCCCCCCCCAAACACACTCCAGCTCACCCTCCTCCCCAAGCTCCAGGGTCATTGGTGCTGTTCTTTTCTCCAATGATCCCTGTGTCTGTCTGTCAGCAGCAAAAGGCTGGTGGGCAGACAGACACCATACAAGCTCTTGGCTTGGCATGTAGGCCCCCACCCCTCCTGCCAGTTAATTCCCTGGCCACCCCCAGATTGTGCTCCCAAGACACAACCAAACTCCCTCTCTCCATGCACATCACTCTTCAGACTGTGTATCTCCACACACCCTTGCCCATGGCCACACATGGGCATTTCCAGGGCCGCCTCATGTGCCATTCTGCAAATCGTGTCCAGAGCTTGGAGGCTTGGTAAGGGTATCCAGGATCCCATCCTGCCCTAGTCCTGCCCCAAACCTCCAAAAGCCCCACCTGCCAGAAACAGTGCCCAGCCCTTCACAGTTTCCCTAGCTGGCCCTATGCTTAGTCTCAACCCTCAGCCACGCAGAACCACACACACATCTGTGATACCCCCCAGGCCTCTCTGCCTTTCCACGTGCTGTCCCCTCATCAGCTTCTGCATTCCTCTCTCTTTCTGATGCACTTGCAAAGCCAAGCCCTGTCATCTTCCACCCCAGGCTTGGGACTCCCAGCTGATCCTATCTTCCACCAGCCTGACTGAAACCACTAGACCTACAGAGTCCTGCTGAGAAAGGACAGTGAGTCAGTGTTGTTAGTTGGCTCTGAGTCTTGGCAACATTACGTATAAGAGAATGAAGTGGTGCCTGTTACTGCACCATCGTCATGACTGTTGGTATGTTTGGGTCCATTGTGAACCAGTAGGTGGTGAATAAGCACAACCCAACACCACTGTCACCTTACCTCCAGTATCTCCATATCACTGATGTCAGGCCTCACCCCAGAGAGCCTTAGCTACCTGCTGGACCCTCCTCCTCCCCAATACACCTTCCCTTGTGATTGCTTCTTTTCATCTGATTTTATGACACTCACAAATGTGCCCTGGGCCTAGGCCAGCCAGTCAGTCCCAGGCCACCCCCACAGGGCATCTGTTGCTGTGACATAACGATGCCCCCTTCTAAATCCAGACTTTAGCTTCATCTCAGTCCATAGGCTGGCTGCCAGCAAACCCTTCTGCAGAACTCAAGACTTGTGTGTCCAGCTCCCGAATACCTCTACTCAGAGATCCCTGGGACTTCTCCGAGTCAACAGGGTCAAAACCTGCCTCCTGAACGTCTCTAAAACCAGGTCCACCCACTGACCTCCCATCTCAGTCCATGGCACTTCTACCTAGTTGCTGAAGCCAAAAACCATGAGGTCATCCCTGAAATAACTCTCTTGGCCTCCACATCATAAAATCAGTTGAACAAATCCAGAGCCCTGCCACTACTACCAGCTCTGCATTCTACCACTTTGGCCAGCCACTGTCACTACTCACCTGGCCTACTGTAGTAGCATCCTTGTCAGCCTCCCTTCTTCATCTGCCAAATCCCCAACACTGAAGCCAGAGGAAGCCTGCTAATACCTGAGTCAGATCACCTCCCCTGTCTGCTCCAAACCTTCCATGGTTCCCACCTCAGAACAGAGGCTCAGCTCCTCAAGCTGCCATTCCAGGACTGACTCCTGCTTTCTGCTCTGTCTCCACCAGACTTAATGGAAACCTCCAGCTCCTAGCTCAGCTTGATGCACTGCACATCCTGGTCCATGTGTTTCCACAGCTCCTCCCATTGGATTCCAGACATGCGACTCTTCCACTCAACTTCCAACGGGGATAGGGGTTGTGGGCCTGGAGTAATCTCTGTCCCCAGTAGCAAGGACAGGGCAGCAAAGTGGGAGGGGGAGAAGAGAGCTGGGACAAAACCCTCCACTATATGGGCACTCCGAGTCCACGTGGGTGGAGGTCCGAGTAGGGGTCTGGGGCACCCTCCACTCACCTGAGCCGGGCCCGTCACTGCTGTTGCCGCCGCCATCTAAAGCTGTAGGAGGTACAGGGACCAGGGTGGATACTGCTGGCTTAGCCGTCCCCACCCCGTCCTTGTCCGGGAAGGTGACCACGGGCTGACTGCCTTGCGCTGTGCCTCAGAATGCGCCGTGTAAAATGAGGCCCCAAACGCTGCTGATCGCGGGGACATGCGGAGACGCTGGAGCGATGCGGCCCCAAAGGACAATCTCGTTACCGGGGGTCAGGGATCGATTAAGAGCGCGGACGTGGGTCTCATCCTCCTTACTGTCACTCTCGGCTCAATTACTAGGAGGCGTCTGGAAGGGGCCCGGGATCCCAAGGGCGCTGTGCAACGACCGGTCAAGAGCAAAATGAACGTCAACAATGGCTACGTCGGAAGCCCCGCCCCCGCCGACGTACCACACAACACACGCCCTTTCTAGGGCTATCATTGGCTCAGCGCCCGCCGCCGACCTACAAAGTCTTCTGGGTAATGCAGTTTTTGCTTAAGATCCGGCAGGCCCTTCTCGTTTCCTATGGCAACGACCAAGCTGCACCGCGAGAGGCCTTGGGACAAGTTGTCTTCAGACAGACCGCCAGGGACGGGACTTAGCTTCTTCTTAAAGTGGTCGCGCCCAGATCTCCGCGTATTGCTGCCAGAGGGACTGTGTGGATGGTATAGGCAACCAGGATTACTGAACTCGCTCACGGAGCCCGTGGCTGGGAGGCAGCCCTCAGTTCTCCCATCAAAACAACGTCCCAACCACGTCCAACCAGTTTTCCCCCTCAGCCCTGCAATTTTTAGTGAAGTTTTTTTTCTTGGGGCCTCTGATTTTTTACACGCTGTCGACGAAACTGACAGGCCCTTGCTGCACTTCTGACTCCCAAAATTCGGTCACACCCAGCAATTCTGTCAAGTTCCCCTCCCTCTGCCCAAGCCTGTTTCCAGACGCCTTCATTACTGACCCCCATTCACCACCCTCGCAGGACCTCTCTGCCTTTGGGCTGCTCTGCTCGCTTGGCTGAGTTTTCCCTTACACCACCGGGAGTGTCCACAAGGCGTGCTAAGGCCACATGACACCAAATCTGAGAAGAACCCCTCCATTCAACACTCTGTGGTCACTACTCCCCAGTCTCAGTCCCAACAAATCTCCCCTCTGGGTTCAGCTCTCTCCACTCTCAACCACCTGCTAGATCTTCTTCAGATCACATGTCCTCTTCACTCTTGGACCCATCCCTTCTGCCCAGCCCTCCAAACTCGCTCTTGCCGTCCCCTCCGAGCCCATATATTACTAAGATCTTAAGACCCTTCTAAATCTTGTTTCCAGTCCATACCCTGGTCCAGATGGCCAGCCCTCCACCCCTTGGGTACCTTCAGCCCGGACCCTGCCAGAACTTTAGATCTGTGTCCAACTGCCTTTGTCATCTAACCACTTAGATGTTTATAGGCATTTAAGACACACGTCCAAACCCAACTCCTTCCCTGCCTTGAAGGCTACTCCTCTTTCTTCTTCCTCATCTCCATGAGTTCCATCCCTCCAGCTCTCATCCCACAATCCTTGGAGTCATCCTGAACCCCTTGTCTTTTTCTCACTCTCCCGATCCTCAGACTCATCAGGAAACCCCACTGGGTTTCCCTTTAGAAGATAGTCAGAATCCGACTGCTGCTCCCACATCCTCCGCCATCACCCAAGTCCAGCCTGTCATCACTGCTTTCATACTGCAGTCACTTCCTTACTGCTGTCTCCACCTTCGCCTGGCCCCATCACTTCTTCACACAGAAGCCAGTGGGATTCATGTCAGATTCTAACCCAGATCACACCCCTTTGCTTTTCACTCCCCGGCAACCACTGCCCTAAGAATAAAGGCCAGCTATTCAGCCTCCATTCAGCACGAATCTTCCCCTCGTGCCTTCTGGTTCCGACAGAAGTAAAGGAATTTCAGATTCCCGAATGCGCTCATCTCAGGATCACCATCAACTCTTTGCGCAGGTGGTAGAAGTGGGGTTTTCTACCCTGCGCAGCCCCACTATCCCGGACACGAGGACTGGGCCGAAAGTGATCCCAGCACAGGCGCCTTCAGTCGCGGCTTTTGAACACTGAGGTTTGGAATCCTGCCAGGTCGGGGCCTGGTGATCCTGCACCACGTGCGCTGGGTCCTTTGGTGCCGCCATGGTCTCGGACCTGGAGCTGAAGATCCAGCCACGCCCCGTGCCGGGGTTCCCACGGACCGCGCCGCTGCTGCGCTAGGACGCGCCGGCTGTAGACCGGCAGACCAGGAATCCATTTCCCAGCACTCCTCGCGGTGTCGCTTGGTTGTTTCCATGGAGATCGGGAAAAGTGCTGCTGGACCGCGGTGCGAAATACGTTACCCACAAGGCGCTGCGCCATGCGCCGCTTCGGTCGCTGGCCAATGACGGCCAAGGAGAGGGGCATTTCCACGCTTGCGCGCCGGTGGAGACGTGACTTCCGGCCTCGAGCTGAGGTTCTTTCTGCGCCGGTGTGAGCATCTGCCTCCGCCTCCAGTGCTGTCCGGATAGTTGTGCCGGCGCACCCTTCCGAGGGCTCCGCGACCCCAGCGTCTGGGCCTTAGATGACGAAAATGGGTAAGACCGAGAAGGCACCCTCCCCACTGTCGCGCCCTTGCGCGTCAGAGCCGAGTCCCCAGAGCGAATGTCTCCATCTCCCCGAACCTCGATTTCCCCGGCAGTAAGATGTGCGGCCCATGAGGTGTCCTTCGGGACTCCTCAAAAGTCTGTCCATCCCCACGCCCTTTCCAGGTAAGGCGTCCTGGGTGTTTTCCCACTTTATGGAGCGGGAGACGGAGGCTCGGAAGGGTCGCCCAGTGCCTGAGGTCATCCAGACGTCGGTGGTGTTTCTTGGCGGCCCACCCCTCACGTGCCAGCTCTTTCCGCAGGATGCCATGGCAGCAGCGGCGCCATCGAATTCGTCTCAGGTGAGGGAAGGGTTCCGCTCGCAGACACCCGTAGGGCGGCTGCCCACAACGTCTTAAGACCCCCGCGTTAGCGGATGGGTGTGTGCCATTCCATTTCCTTTGGGAAGCCCAGAATCCTAAAGAACAGGGTCCCTTTCAGTCTGTGCCAATGATTCCCAGCCCAGTGGTCTGTGTGCGGGTAGCGAGAATGGAGAGCCTGAGCGGAGAATTTAGGTTGCAGTAGGACAAGAAGGAGCTGGCCCTCCACTCTGTCATTAACAGCTTTGTTGGCTGGTGTGTGAACAGCCTCGGGCAGGGGGAAAAAGCGAGGAGGCCAGCTAGGAACCGTCAGCAAAATCAAGGTGTGTAGTGGTGGCAGTGGGTGAGATTTAGGACATGAGATCTTTAGAACAAGGTAGAGATGAGGGTCTCTGAGGTGGACATAGTGTTGGAGTGTGTGTGTGGAGGGAGCAGTGCAGTGAGGTTTTAATGCAGAGCGTGGTCAAGTGGCTGCCTCTCTAGAATGACGATTTGCTAACTGCAGGAGCATCAGGTAGCTGTGTTTACCCTCTAAGTGGCACAGGGTTTGGGAATCTGGGTGTTTCTTTGCAGCTGCGGGATGGAGCTGGGACAGCTCCTAGTGGTGTTAGCTATTGGAAGTTTTGATGCAAGACAGGCATGGAAGTGGATTTTTTTTTTTTTTTCCAATTTTTATTGTGATTTGGGTGGAAGTTTACAAAGCAAATTCACCATACAGCAGCTCACATGTCTCATGACATCGACTACAATTTACCACAATGCAACAGCTCCTCTCTCACTTCCTCTCTATACTTACCTCTTCCCTGTGTCCTTTCCTCCATGTACTCCTGCCCCCTGAGCTGTCTCACTGTGCACGCATAGCCCTTTTATTCTCCCAGGATTGATCTCTTCAAGGAGTGTATCTACCTAATGTAAATGTTCAGCCCATATTCTTGTCTTTTGTTTGGCTGGAAGCCACAGGACTGGGTTCAATTCCAGACCTGAAGGGCAGCTAGGGGCCATACTCTCAGGGGTTACATCAGGCTCTATCAGACCAGCAAACCTGGTCTTTTTTTTTTTTTTCCTTTAATGATTTTGAGTTTTGTTCCACATTGTTCTGAATGGAAGTGGATTTTGGCTGTTATTTTCTCTTGGTGTTTTGTGCAGAGTGGTCTGTAGAGAGGTTGGGTGAGAGGAATTTGTTCCAGGGCCGTGGCAGATTAGGAGGGCACCCAGAGTTGTGAGAAGAGAGCTGTTCAAACTGATGATTGCACCAAGGAGCATGCCATACAGGGACCAAGGCATCTGCAGGAGAGATCAAGCCTGGGGTTCATTATTGGCAGAGGGCACACTCTGGGGAACATCTAGGAAGCTGACTAGAAGTACAGCGGAGAGAAGTCTGGGTATTAGGCATAGGTTGAACAATGTCAACTACTTTTTGATGCAGTGGCTCAGATTGAGTGACCAGTGGGACTTGGGAGGATGAGAGGGCACCGATGGTCGCAAATTGCTGTCCACTTTGCAGTGGGAGCCTAAGGAGGAGGGTGAGCTAGGGGTGGGATGTATCTAAGGGGTGCTACCACGGAAAGGGCAAGAGGTCCTTGGACACAAACCCGGAGCTTAAAAGTGTCGCTTCATTGGTCCCTAGGATCCACTGTCTCCATCATCACAGGGTATGGTGCTTTTGATGAGGTGGCTGTGCACCTCTCCTGGGAGGAATGGTATTGTTGTTTTCATTTGCATCTCTTTAAAGGCTAATGAGGAGTTCTGGTGGTGCAGTGCCTAAGCCATTTAACTACTAACCAGAAGGCTAGCGTTTCAAACCTACCAGCTGATCCTTGGAAAGAAGATTGAGTGGTCTCCTTACATAAAGACACTGTCTGGGAAATCCAAGGAGGAGTCACTATGAGTCAGATACCGACTTGATGGCAAGTTTGGTTTTGGTTTTAATGGCTAATGATCATGAACATTTCTTCATGTGTTCGTTCACCTCCTGAATATCCTCTTTGGTGAAGTGTCTATTCATGTCTTCTGCCCATTTTTTAATTGGATTGTTTGTCTTTTTGTTATTGAGGTGTTAGAATTTTCTATAAATTTTAGAGATAAGTCCCCTGTCTGATATGTCATTGCCAAATATTTTTTCCCAATCTGTAGGTTCTCTTTTTACGCTTTTGAAGAAGTCTTTTGAAGCACATAAAATTTTAATTTTAGAAGGTCCCATTCATCTAGTTTATCTTCTGCTGTTTGCGTATTTTGGGTTATGCTTGACAGTCTGTTTATGCCATAAATTAGAATGAACGCACTGCCATCAAGTCGGATCTGACTCATAGCGACCCCTCCTTGGGTTTCCAAGGCACTATGGAAGTAGATTGCCCAACCTTCCTTCCGAGGAGTGGCTGGTGGGTTTGAACTGCCAGCCTTCTGATTAGCAGTCAAATGCCTTAGGCATTATGCCACCAGAGCTCCTTGCCATAAATCGGGGCCCCGAAATTTGCCCCTATTTTTTTCCTTGAGCAACTTTATAGTTTTAGGTTTCACATTTAAGTCTTTAATCCATCGGGAGTTAGTTTTTGTGTATGGTGTGAGGTTCAGATCTTGTTTCATTTTTCTGTAAATGGATATGCAGTTTTGCCAGCACCATTTGTTAAAGAGGTCATCTCTTCCCCATTTAATGCATTTCAGCCCTTTGTCAAAGATCAGCTTACCATAGGTCGATGGATGTATTTCTGGGTTCTTAATTCTATTCCACTGGTCTGTGTATCTCTTGTTGTACCAATACCAGGCTATTTTGACTACTGTAGCTATAATAGTAGGTTTTGAGATCCGGGAGTTTGAGACCTCCTACTTCGTTCTTCTCCTTCAATAATGCTTTGCTTATCTGAGGTCTCTTTCCTTTCCATATAACATTGGTGATTGTTTTTTTCCGTATCCTTAAAGAATGGTGCACTTTTTGACATTCTTTTGTCCGTCTGGTAATAAAGATGAAGCAGGCTCATGGTTCTCCTCAGGGTAGGTCATGCACAGACAGGGGAGGGCCTTTACCTGCTGCTTCCCCCACAGGACTTGTGGCCACTCCACCCCGTGGGGTCATTTTGCTGGAACACAGCAAGAAACCCTAGGGTTCTGGGTGGCAGGATGCAATTCTGGCCACAACAACAGAGGCCAAGAAGTCTAACCTTGGGTAGTGGGATTGGAGGTAGGGCTAGGTCTGGTCTTGGCTAGATTGTGCCTAGGCATTGTCCAGAGCAAGTCAGTGTCCCATTGCCAAGGTGAGTTTCCCATTCTCAGTTCCACTTTCTTTCTGCTCTTCTGGACACTCCATCCTCTTGCCTTTTCCCTTCTGATGTATGGTTCCTGCTTCCCCTCACCTCTCTGACATTAAGGGCTTATCCTTTCACTACTTCTTCACCCTGTACTGGGCCCTCCAATGTCAATTTTCACTTAACTGTTATGAGATGTTCACATATTTTTAAATAGTCCTTGAAAGCCTAGTCTTAAGAGGTAGCAGGATGTTATGTTCTTGTTTGGGCTTCCTTGTGTCACAAGAGCCATACTGAATCTTATTGGGACAGAGTGAGCAGAAGATCCTGCCAACCATATTAAATTTTTTATTCTGATCAGAATTGCTTGGACTGTTGTTTTGCTAGACCCTTGATGTAGTAGGTAACACATTTGACTGCTAACAGAAAGTCAGTGGTTCAAATCCACCAGCTGCTCTGCAGGAGTAAGATGAGGCAATCTACTTCTGTAAAGATTTATACCCTTGGAAACCAATGTGGTTTGCTATGAGTTTGAATTGGCTCGGTGGCAGTGGGTTTGTTTTTGTTTTTGTTTTGTTTATCCAACATGATAGATCCTTCTTTGCTTCAATGGCGGCCCCTTTATTTTGCAAGAACAGGGAGATCACTTCTGAGTGTATTAGATATTCATAATGATGAATCCATTCTCTCCTACCGAGCGTTATGTGTAAAGATGGTATTTCAGGTGGTTCACTTTTAAGGGAAGATGAGGAGGCACCATTCGGACAGTATGATTCTAGAGAAGTAACGTTATAGGTCTGGAGTCCCAGTGCCAGTCCTTCTATCCAGAAGGTCTACTCCTATAACATGCATGGTCAGTTCTTCAGAGAAATCTTGTACATGGATAAGCATCAGGGAACAGACTCTGGATAGAAAATGTACACATGTGGAGCATATGGGAGAAAATGCTGACTCCACTCAAACCTTTAAGTGAAACAGAGACTTCAGAGTGGAGAGAAACCTTTCATCTGTGAGGAGTGTGAGGCCTCAATTCTGATTATGTATCTGAGGAGCCACACTACAGAGAAATTCTCCACAAGCAGAGAGTGTGGTAAAGATGTCCCAGACAGCTATGACTTCCTTCAGCACCAGGCCACCCACAGCAGGAGGAAGCCACCCAGGAGCACTGAGTGCAGGGAGGCTTTGCCATACGGCTATAATCACGAGGAGCTCGTGGGAGTCCATGCCACACAGAAACCTTTCAAGTCCAATGACTCTGGGAAAGCCTTACTGAAAAGCTCCACTATACTGCTGTTGAGTCGGATCCAACTCATAGCAACCCCTCCTTGGGTTTTCAAGGTGGTATTACTATGGAAGTAGATTTCCAACCTTCCTTCGCAGGAATGGCTGGTGGGTTTGCACCTCTAGCCTTCTGGTTAGCAGTCCAATGGCTTAGGCACTATGCCACCAGAGCGCCCCTCCTTAGCCAACCTGAAGAGACTCACCCTGAAGAGAGAGCCTTAAGATGCCCAATTGATTAAAATGCCTTCAAGGAGAAGACAACTCTTGTTACTCAAAGAAAAAAAAATCACTCCGAAGAAACCTCCCATGTGTGTAAGGAGTGTGGGAAGGCCTTCAGTTATCTGTCTAAACTGAAAAATCAGAAAATTCACTCTTGAGGAAGGCCTTGTATATGAAGTGTGGAACAACTTTTGGTCAAAGTTCTACTCTAATCCAACACCAGAATCTTCACACTGGAAAAAGGCTATAAGAGTGCAGCAAATGTGGGAAAGCCTTTAGCCACCAGTCTCACATAGTTCAACAACAGAAAGTCTACACATGAGAAACGTGTGATGAATACAGCAAACGTGGCAAAGCTTTCAGCTGAAGCTCTTACTTTGTTCTGTGTCTTAGTACTCATGCTGAAGAACCACCATGTGAATGTACCACATGTAGGAAAGCTTTTAACCAGCACTTCACCCTTACTCATGATTAGAAAATTCATGCCAGAGAAAAGTCTATCAAGTATACTGAGAGTGGAAAAGCCTTTAGCTATAGATCTAACCTTATTAAAAACCAACAAGCTTACACCAGATTAATCCTTTAGGAGCACGGTGAATGTCAGAAAGCTTTCAGTCAGAAGTGCGTATTTGCTCAGCACCAGTGTCCACATGAGAGAAAGGCATATGAATGCACTCAATCTAAAGATAGCTGCCACTCTATCCTTTTTCAGCGTGAAAGTAATCACAGCCACGAGAAGCCCTTTGTGAGATAGCATCAGACATGGTCAACCTCAGTGTGGGAACATCACGACTCAGGAATACTTCACATGTGTCATGTGTGACATTTTGTGGTCATCTGAAATAAACAGGATGGACCAAAATTTGCTTCAGGTGTCAAGGCTGATTACACTTCACACACTAAGAACATTTGGGAGACAGTCTATTGCCCATACAGGGCACTTCTAGGGAAGGCTGGGTAATCACAAGCACATCCCGGGTGGCTTGAGCAAAGCAGAGGAAGTGGGTTGGGCTTTATACTCTCAAAGGGGTGGGATTGGGGAAAAGTTTCCACTCATCGGCAGGATATTTGTAAGGTTTACATTTCCTGGCAGTACCAAAGGAAGAGGCAGACATGAGGGCATCTCTATTACCCTGTCCAGAAGTGGGGGCAGAAGGGAAAGAAGGTGAGGCTTAAAAAGAACTCAGCAAACATGAGAGAAGGAGTCAGATTCTTGATTGCAGTGGTAAAACCTTTGGAGTCTGCTGAGAGACCAGGGCATGGCTGTTGTCTTATCAGTCTTGTGGCAGGGGTCATTCCATCAAGTATAACAAGAAGGGTGCATTTTTCCAGAAGGGAGTGTAGGGCAGAAACTCCATCACGTAGAATGCTGTGTGGGGCACTAGCTCATTTCCTGCAACCCTTGTCGGTGGGGCAGGACTTCTGGCATTGCCCTTGGGAATGTCATGATTCTACTTGATCAGAGGAGCCGAGGCTGGCTGGCTGCAGATTCCCGAAAGCAAATAGAGAACAGGCTACTGTGCCTTTGTATGTTCTGTGACCTCTGGCCAGCAGCTGGGCACAGGGGGACAACAGTGCCCAGTTCCCTGTCCCTGTTGCTGCCTCTCAGGGCACTGCTCTGCCCACACATTGCAGTGGCAGTGGGCTCAGCACAGGGGAAGGAGGGTCCACCAGGCTCCTATCCAGAAGCTTCCAAGCCCCAGTGTCTCTGCAAGGAACAGCACATGAGCTCATACCTCCAGTGGAAAGCTGAGTAGCTAGGCCTTCATCCTAAGAGTGTTGAGAGCCAAGAAGAGTCTTGGACAGAGGAAGGAAATGATCTCATGTAAGATTTAAAGATTATTCTGGCTGATTTTTGAGGAACACCGTGGGGGAGGTGGAGGCAGGGAAACCAGTGAGAAGTCTGTTACAATAGTCCATATGAACAGGAATCGTGGCTGTTACCAGAGATGGGCAGGGAAGTGGGAATTCTGGATAGGACTTAACAGTACAGGTGGCAGGATTTCTTGCTGCATCAGATGTGGGGTGAGACTGAAGGTGCATGGTGAAGGACCATTACAAGTGTTCAGAAGGATGGAAGTACAGGAAGTTATTGGGAGGAGCGGGATTGTGGGCATTTTGAGTCCTGAGTGGAGACATGAGGGCAGCTGGAAATGCAGGTCTGGAGCTCAAAGGAGAGATCTGGGCTGGACGTGCCCAAGGCAGGAATATGGTGGCCCGGAGCAGATAATGGCTGGGGTCCCAGGTTTAGAAGGATGCTGTGGTTGCTGGTGGGCTGCAAGGTGAGGGTAGAGGGGGCTGGCACTTAAGGTAAGGCAAGATATTTCTGAAGAAAGCATCACAGGTCAGGACCCCCGGAGGGGGTCCTCTGTCATGTATGGACTTGTCTTCAAACAGTTTACTGCTGGCTGAGCACCCTCAAGCAGAAACCATACATATGGTGGACATGTGGAAGAAACTTCTGGTTCAACTCAAGCCTGTACCACCACCAGAAGCAGGGCAGTGAAGAGAAACCATTTAGATGTAGGTATGGAACCTCATTTGTGACAAATTCAGCTGTGATCAGGCACTGCAGAAACCATACCTCAGAGAAATTTGTCAGCTGTAAGAAGTTAGGCAAGGCCTCCTGGGACATACCTAGCTTCTTCCTGCACTAGGTCACCCAAAACTGGGGAAAGCCATATGGGAGCACCACGTGTGAGACTTTGCCACACAACTCTAGTCGAGAGCAGCAGCCCTTAAAGTGCAGCAGTTGTATGAAGGCCTTTGGGACAAGATCTGCCCTCCACAACCACGTGAGAGCACACAACGAAGAGAGACCCTGTGGATGTGCAGTATGTAGGAAAGTTTTCAAGGAGAAATTATACCTTTTTTCATCATCAAAAAATTGACACCAATGCCCTAAGGTACCTTTTTAACCTAAGACTGAAACCATTCCCAGAGGTCACCTTTCAGCCAAACAATAGATTGGATTATAAAATAAGCTACATCAACTGTGAGTAATGTGTCCCTTAAACAATTAACTACATGAGACCAAATAGTCAACATTTACCCAGAAGCAAAGATGAAACGGAGGGGAAGGGAAACTAGATCAATGGAAATAATACAAACAAAATAATGAGAATACTGAACATTGTGAAAATTATAACCCACGACACACAAAAATTTATATAAAAATTGTTAAATGGGAGTGTAATTCACTGTGTAAACTTTCACCTAAACAAAATACTGGGAAAAAATCCACACCAGAAAGATTTACTTACACCCCATGTGAGTAAGAAGTGTGGGAAGGTTTTCAGTGACATCTCTAATTTATGAAAGTACCAGGAACTTTATACTAGAGAAATAACCTTACAAGTGCGAGTATTGTGGGAAAGTAATCAGCTACAGCTTTTCTATTTTGGCAGCATGAGAAAATTTGCATTGGAGACAGGCCAATATGAATGCAGCAAATAAAGACCCTTTAACCATAGTTACAACCTCATGCTTGGTAAAGGATATCGTGCTTGGTAAAGAGGAGGGTCAACAAAAAAGGGGAAAGCCCTCAACAAGATGGATTGACACAGTAGCTGCAATTACGGGCTTAGGTATAGCAGGGTTCACGAGGCTGGCACGGGACTGGGCAGTGTTTCGTTCTGTTGTACACAGGGTTGCTGTGAGTCGGATACGACTAGACCACACCTAACAACGACTACAACCAATCTCATTAAGCACCAGAGAAAGGCTTAAATTTGCTCTGAATGTGGGAAAGCCATTAGCCATAGTTCCACCTTCTTTTGACACTAGAAAACTCATCCTAGAGAAAGGACGTAATGAGCATAGTAAATGTGGGAAAGTCTTTCAGTATTGCTGTACACTTGTTAGGCACAATAAAAGTTCACAGTGGAAAAAGATGAGTGCAAGGAGTGTGGCAATACTTTGAGGCAAAACCTTGCTCTCATTCGAGACGAGTGTGGAGCAAGACCTTGTGAGTGCAACCGACATGGGAAAGGCTTCAGGCACACCCCCATCCTTGTTAAGCACCAGAAAGTTCCTACCGTGGAAGGGCCTTAGGAACACAGTGATTGTCGGAAAGCTTTTGGTGAAAGCTAGTCTTGTTCAGCACCAGAGAGGTCATACTGAAGAAAGATTTTGAGTACAATGAATGTGGAAAACGTTTTCTCACACATTTAAACTCAGTCAGCACCAGAAAGTTCTTGTTAGGAAAAAGCCTTAGGAGTGCAGTGGATGTGGGGAAGCCTTCAGACAGAACTTCACCCTTGTTAAGCACCAGAGAGTCCACACCAAAGAAGGCATTAGGAGTGCAGTGGTTGTGGTGAAGTTTTCAACCACAACTCCAGCCTCCCTCAGCATCAGAGAGTCCACACTGGAGAAAGGCATTATGAGTGCAGCGATTGTGGGAAAGCCTCTAGCCTGGTCTCTACCCTTATTAAACACCAGAAAGTTCACACCAAGGAATGGCCTTATGTGCGTGGCCTCTGTGGGAAAGCCTTGGGAGAAAGCTATAGTCTTGCTTGGCACTAGGGCTTTCACACTGGAGAAACACCTTATGAATATAGTGAGTGTGGGGAAGCTTTTGGCCTCAACTTAAACTTATTCAGCATCAGAAATTTCAGTTAAGAAATGGCATGCATGTGCACAAAATGTAGAAATGCTTCCAGCTGCAGTTCCTGTCTCATTCTGTGTTAAAGGATTCACAATCGAGAATCTTGGATACAGTGAATGTGGAAAAACTTTAATATTTCTATAATCGTGTTCAGCATTCAAAGAATCAAGACTGAGGGGAGGCTAAAGAGTAGGTTTTGTGAGTAAGATTTTTGGCTATAAGTTGAACTCAGTGCAACAGAACAACCACACTGAAGAGATACTGTGCAGATGCCACACGAGGAAACTTTCAGAGGCCACGTACAACTTTGACTTGCCTAGAAACCTTTGCATAGCTGCCTCACTGATGGCACCTGTGCCAGAAAACACTCCCTCTCACCCTCTTGGCTATACCTGTATAGGGCAGTCACCTTCCACGTGTTCAGAGAAGGTGACCCTCTGTGCCATGACTGGGTTAAGCATAGAAATTATGCAGTTCTGGCAAGGGATTTGATGGAGTGTCTCTTGGAGAGTTTCTAGGGAAAGTTTTTATTCATGAATATTGTTAAAGTCTGTCTGTGATGCACATGATGGCTTGGTGAATGAGCCCAAGAATCGCCCAGCCTTGAAACCCCCACCTTGGTCTGCTCTGGACTAAAGTTTTTATTGAATAAGTCTTTTTGTCCTTGGGTTTCTGTTCATCTCATGTGGTGAGTTGAAGACAGAAATAGCTGATGTCATTATGACAAGGGGGTAACAGCTTCAGGGAGCACCCAACAGCTTCTGCCACACAGGACACAGTGAGATGGCAGATTCCTTCCTAGAAAAGTCTGAAAAGTTCAATGGGTCAAACTTGTGGCCTGGATTCCAGGGTTTGCTTAGACCCAGTGCTTACCCTGAGAGAGAAGGTTGTTGGTCTGAGACCTTTGAGTGGTCTAGTAGCAGCAGAAAGAGGATCCCTTGTTTCAAGGGGTCATTTCATGTTTCATTTTTACTATTTGAGGCGGAGCTGGGCCTGGTCAGAAGTCACAACATTGGAAGGCCAGACCCTAGTAGGCATAGTCACTGACTCCAAGGACTACAGGGTCTATGTATGTACCATAAGTGGGTAAAGAAACACTGGGTGTGAAGTAATAAGAATTAGGGGAGATTATGACATACTACATGGGATAGAAGTCATGTCTACAGGGACCATTACAACTCTTATATTGACTGTAGCTGTGTGGACTGTGTGAAGCCTTTCAAGACATGCAGACCTGAACTGTCCTACAGCCAAGATCACTGTCAGAGCAAATAAAATCAAGTTTTTGTGTGCTTTGCCTCACCTGAGCTGTCTACCTGGAAACTATTACTGTGCTGTTGGGGTCCCTGGACTGGGGAGTCAGGAGTCCTGGGAGGTGGATTTCATGATCGGGTAAGGGGGTTCCTTGTAACTCGAGCAGCAATGGCCGTTATCACTCTCCAGTCCCCCACTACCAAGATAGAGATGGCCCATTGAAGAATAGGGAAAGAAAGACTGGGATTTATCATATGGTCTTTTGTTTTTTCCAAAGGAGCTAAAATACCCAGATCTTACAGATCTGTGTTGGCCCTGAATATTTTTAAAATACTAAATAGGATGTGAATTCAGAAAAACTTTTACATAGGCTGTAGATGTTAATAGTGGCTAATGCTTTTGGCCTCTAGAGAAGGAGAAGACCCTCCCGGGATGCTTCAACACAGAGAGGCTGAGCACCCACTATCCCTCTTTCCCCTCATAGCCTCCAGTGAGTTCTGCTTCATTTCCCAGCCACATGACTGCCATGCTCTCAGTACCTGGCCCTTTTCAAAATCTCCAGCCCCATCTCTAATTGGTGACCACCTGGGAACCCCAGTTCTAGCACCAAGGTGACAGGAGGAATCAAGGGTCCTAGGAAGTTTTACAGAAATTTAAGTCAGTGCCAGTATGTTGGGACTGCCCTCCAGGTTTAGAGCTTCTCTAGACAAACCTAGCGGCAGATGCCTCCAGTGGTGTCCCCTGGAGGCTGGTGTTCTCTGGAGACAGGGCCTCTACTCTGTAGTTTGATACAATCCCTACACAGCAGCAGTCTAGTCTCACCATTCTGCCTGGTTCTGGGGTTGTGGAGTGAGTGACTTCTTGTTTCCCCTTAGGATGAAATCCAAACCTGAAAGACTAGAAAGGCCCTTCCATCGTTACCCACTTTCTTCCTTTCACTCATGCTCCCCTATCCAGCATAAAGAAAGCCACCTGGACCACAGGAACTCCTGTACAGACCCTACAAATCCAGGCTGTTCCACATTCAGACTATCGTTCAGACAAACCCTTCTGCTAGGATTCCTCCACCTTGTCTCATTCACGAGAAAAAGCCCTGTTCTTCCTTCAAAAATAACAGATTCTTAAAAACACATTTAAAGTCTAGTTCCAGGTAAGATGGAGTAAAAACACCCCATCCTGTCTCACTGAATGTAGCTTATAAACAAAATGTATAGAGCTAGGATTTGAAGATTCTGAAAAGTACAGTAGCAGGCTGACTTGGGACGAAGACCAGAATTCAAGTACCACTGAACTTTCAGTGAATGTGTGGTTTCTCCCCTTTAGTGTCCCCTGGCCTGAACAGCGTCTCAGGGATCCGTGGGTCAAAAACAGAAGGTTTAACATTCGTGTCATTGGTATTCCGGGAAAAGGGAAGACAGAGTGATGGAAAATGCAGATACACGTATTCAGTCAAAGAAATAGAGTTCGGCCTCGGGACTCTCTTTCCCAGTGCCCCCCGCGGTGACTCTTGTTCGTTGTCGTGGAGATATGGCCGGGCTCCGGAAGCCGGGATGGGAACTACAATGTCCAGAAGGCGCTGGGCGTCTGTTCGCAGCCCGCATTGGACCAATAAGGCCAGGGAGGGGGCTGGACTTCCGGCCTTCAGGACTGTCACTTTACTGCCCGGCGTCGGGCCACACCGGCGGTGGGTGCCGGAACGTGGGATAGGTCTACTGTCCCGGGCGGATCTGAGACCAGAGGCAAGGGCAAGGAGCGGGCACCAGCCGAGGCCCCGCCTCGCTCCCGCACCTGCACGCCCCTCGTCCCTGCAGGCGAGCGGCTTCGCTCCCCCAGCCTCGGTTTCCCCGAGCGTACGGTGGGCGGTGCCGTGGGACCGTCGGTGCGCGCCCCGCGCCACGTGCTCCCCGGGGCCTCAGCGGCCGCGGGTATCAGCGTCTTGGATATTCTGCGCGTTGGCAGCCGAGGAGACGGGCCCAACGCTGCCGGCCCCCAGCCGCGGGCCGGGTCGGCGGGGCCCGGGTCCCAGCCCAGCTCACCTGCTCCTGTCGGCCCGCCCACGGGGTCAGATGGCAACGGTGGTGGCGCCGACGGACCCGGCGCGGGTGAGTCCCAGCCGAGGGAGAGACTTTCTGGGCATCTGGTTCTCCTCGCCCGCTGTCCGGGACAGCCCCTCGCCCCAGTCCCCGGTGTTCAGGCCACATGTGTGCAACCAGTGCACTCCCCACTTCTGGCAGCCAAGGGCGTGAAGGTAGGAAGGGAGTCCGAGGAAGCAGTCCCGCACGTGCAGAGAGTGGGAGGTGCGGCTGAGCCGACGGGCTTCCGGGACTGAGTGTTCTCGACGTGTCTGGAGAGCAGGGGAGGGGAGGGGAGAGAGGAGTGCCCGGAGGAACAAGGGCGGGGAGAGAGGTGTGCCTGGAGGGGCAGGGGAGGAGAGAGGTGTGTGTCGGGAGAGCAGAGCAGAGGAGAGGAGAGAGGTGTGTCCGGAGGGACTCCGGAGGGAGGAGAAATGTGCCTGGGTGGCAGGCCTGGAAGCTGGGACTTTGTCCTGAGGGTGCCAGGAGCCGGGGAGGGACTTGCGCTGAGTTAGGATTTTAAAACTATCCCCAGCTGTTGCTGAGTGGAGACCAAATGGGGGAGGCACTGGGAGGGTGCTAGGAAAAAGTCCTGGTGGGGGACAAAGAACTTGGTGTGATTCTGTGTCTCGAAGTAAGCCAGCAATCAAGATGCTTTTGTTTTCTCAAATAGCTGGGCAAGTAGCCCCCCAGCGAACTGAACTTGAGGAAGTGAGGGGCCCTGATGCAGGCATGCATATTAATTGACTCAATCTTGGTCTTACCTGCTCTAAGACCTACGTCATGCATGTTCATTGCAGTCCCCATGACTAGGAGATGTGGGACCTTGAAACTCCGTCTTTGGGGCCTCTGGATTGGCGAGAACCTCCTTGGAAGGGGACCCATGCCAGGAACCCTCCCAGAGCTTGCCTAATGCATCTCTCCACTTGTACCCTTCATAGTTATAATAAATGAGTAACTATAGGAAGAAGCTCTGGTGGCGCAGTGTCTCAGACATTGGACTGCTAACCAGAAGGCTAGCAGTTCAAACCCACCAGCCACTCCTCAGAAGGAAGGTTAAACAATCTACTTCCGTAGTGATACCACCTCAGAAACCCAAGGAGGGATCGCTATGAGTTGGGTCCGACTTGACAGGCAGTGGTTGCATAGGAAGAAGTATGATGGCATACTGGTTAAAATACTCGGCTGCAGTAGGTTCGAGAGTCACTGCGCTTCTGCAGGAGAAAGATGAGTCATCAGCTCACATAAAGATTGACAGCCTTGGAAACCCAATGGGACAGTTATACTCTGTCCTCTAGGGCTACTGTGAGTCTGGAGTCACTCAGTGGCAGTGGGTTTGGCTTGGGCTTTGCTTCTGTGAGGATCCATAGCCTTAGAAATCCTGTGGAGCAGTTCTCTGTCCTCCAGGGGCGCTGTGAGTCAGGATCGGCTAGATGGCAGTGGGCTTGGATTTTTCTAAGTATATGTAGTAGTCTCTGTTGATTTGATGGGTTCGGGGAGCCATTATAGAGAACTAACCAACCCACAGCGGCAACCAGCATGTACTGGCAGGACAGATGCTATGGTGTAAACTCAGCTTGGGGTGGCTGGGTGATACTGGAAGGCAGCTGATGAAAGATCAGACTTGTGACCTAGTCCCAGGAGATGAGAGAGAGGCAGACCAGGCCAGCTGGTCTGAAATACAAGGAGTTGTGTACACCCCTGGGAAATACGGGGAGTTGTGCAGGTCCCTGTGACCTGGCTGCAGGTGGCTGGAGAATTTTGACCCAGCTCAGGATTGCTGCTCTAACTCTGGGTGGTTAGGGGGAAGGAGTTTTTGTCGTGGAGGTGACTGGCAACAGATGGAGATCTGGGAAGGTGAGGCCTGGATCCACTTCCAGGTGGGCATTGGAGTTGTGCTGATGCTTGCCATGCAGTTGGTGACAAAACTGAGGTGTGGCCATTGCCCCCTTTTATAGTGCAGTTTGTAGCAGAGTCCTCGCACCTGGTAGGCCACGATGGTGGCTGGAGCAGAGTGGAGCAGTGGCAGCAGCACAAGCGATTAGTTTCCCCGATCCATCTGCTGATGCATCGGGTTCACACCACAAGGTACTGAATGAAGGGCCATCGCGAGCGTTTAGCTGACCACCTGGGAGAATGAAGCTGCTGTAAACAGGAACAGGACTATGGAGGGAAAGCGGGTTTCAGAGGGAGGATTGGACCCGAGACCAACCGCTGAGTCTTTGATGGCCCAAGATGGAGGTGTTACGTGGCCCTGGAGTTGCCTAAAATTGGATCCTGGAGGCTGGGAATGAGGCAGGGCCTGGGAATTGGTTTTAGGACAGAGGCTCTTAGGAACTTGGTGAGGAATGGGACGTTAGGGCCAAGGACAGGGAAGAGCGGCCTCCAGGGCAACTGTCTGCAAAGCAGACCAGCAAAGTGAGGGTGAGGGCGAGAAAGGAGCTCCAGAAGGTGTGGCTGGGGAGGGAGAAGGGGGTGGCTTCTCGCGTGCCCACCACCTCCTTGGGGACACTCCTGTGAAGACTGGAGCAGGGTCTCAGGCCCGAGGAGCTGCCCTGAAGTGTCCATTGCACTTCAGCCAGGAACGGCCCCAGCGCTGAGCTTAGACACTTGCATGAAGCAAGAGCAGGAAGAACGTGTCTGACTAGGGACAACCTGTGCAAAGGCTGGGACGTGAGAACACTGGGGGACTCCTGCTGTCTTGACCAGGGGCTTGTGCTGGTCACCTTGTGCAGAGTGGCCCGCAGAGAGGCTAAGACGGCGACAGTGGCCTGGACGGGGAGGGTGGATGGTCGAGGTCTGGACAGGTGAGAAAAGTGCCGTCCATAGAAAGACTGGGCTGGGGCTGGGGTAAGCATCTAAGAGACATCACGGGACGCGGCCATTGGCACGGGGAGCTGAGTCCTGAGTCACAGAGCTCGGACTGTGTTCATCTCCTCCTGCCTGCCATTGCAGGGCTTGGTGGCCTTCGAGGATGTGGCTGTGTACTTCTCCCAGGAGGAGTGGGGGCTCCTTGACATGGCCCAAAGAGCCCTGTATCGTCATGTGATGCTTGAGAACTTCGCACTCACGGCCTCACTGGGTAAGCCCCCCCCACCGTGGGAGGTATGGTTGGGGCCCTTGAGCACTCCCCACCCCCACTGCCTTGGGGGCCGTATGAGGCAGAGGTTGGAAGCTGGAGACTGAGGTCTGGCCAGCTCTGCCCTTCCCCTGACACCACCAACGGGTTGCTGAGAGAACACTGGACAGCTCCTGTGAGCCCCTCCCTGCTGTGCACAGCACGATGTGGCGCGACCCTTGGGTTTTCCCAGCTGCACAGATGACACAAGTTTCCCTGCCATCTGTCGGGAGGTGAACTGCCCTGAGCAGGGGCCAGCCCCTCTCCAGCCCTGTCCTCCCCCACAGGGCCCACAGCCTCCCGACCCCCAGTGGTTATCCAGCTTGAGCGTGGCGAGGAGCCCTGGGTTCCCAACAGGAAGGACACGGCCCCAGTCACAGCAAGGAAAGGCCAGAGGAGGCCTAGCCCTGGTGAGTGAGGGCTTGGGGTGAGGGTGAGGTTGGCATTTGAATTTGGCCAAAACTCTCTGTCCCCTTTCAGACCCTCCTGACACTCTCCTCTTCTGCCTCCCTGCCTGGCTCCCTCATCAGCCTCTCTTGGGAGCTCCAGTCTTGGCTGCCAAAAAGGGCAAAGGGCGAACTGAGGGACAGGCGCTGGGTTCAGATACAAGGTCACCCCAAGGCTATGGAGAGGCCCGTCGTAAGTCCTGCTGCTGCATCTGTGGTCTCTCCTTCGTCCCTCATGTCCTTGTCCATCAGTGTGTCTTAAGTACTTGATGTGGCCACACATGTTCCAGGTCCTGGGGACATGGCCACAACCAGGCACTTCTGGGCCTACCTTGAAGGGAAGAAGTGGCTGGTAAACCGGATTCCTGAGTAAAGTCTGCAGCATTAACTATAAACAGACTAAGGATCCACAGCAGGCTGATGAGTGCTCGTGATGGGAGGCAAGGGCATCAGGCGGAGGGAACAGTGAGCACAAAGCGGAACGCCATAAGGCCTACACACCCATCTCTAGTGCCGACCAGACCCAGAACATAACCGCTGCTCAATGGCTGGGGTCCTGGGTAGGAGCCAGGCCCAACTGCATCCCTGCCTCCATGTTCTGCGCCTCAGGTCTAGTGTCTTGACTGCGAGGGCCCTAGATGCTGGTCAGGCCTAGGCCCCTGTTAACACACTCAGCTCCCAGGCTTCCCTCTGCCCTGCCTGTTGGGCCTGCCCTGGCCTCCGGCTCCTGGCCAGGATGACCCAGATATAACCACCCTTTCTCTGCTTTCAGGTTCCCGGTGTCCAGCAGACAATGGGGATGTTTCTAAAGAAACGGCCTTGCTGGATAGTCCTCCTCTGCCAACGTCTCCCAGAGTCCTTCCCCCTGCTGGCACCTGTGACCTGGGGGAACAGCAAAGTGCCTTTCCATCTGGGGAGAGAAAATCCACTGGGGTGTCCATGATCTACTGGGAGAAGCTCCTGCCAGGCTCCAACAGCGGTGAGGCGAGCATCAGCTTGCGGCTGACCACCCCACTGTGGGCTTCGGAGAGTGGCCTCCCCAAGGGGCGGGTCCTCACAGATGGCCCGGCACCAGGGAAGCAGCTGACGGTGCAGGCGCAGCAGAAGCCATACATGCGGGAGGCCCCTGGGAGAACCTTCTCGCGTGTCTCGGTTCACGCTGGGGGTAAGCTGCCCTCGTGCAGGCAAGAAGCGCTGGCCATTCTGACCAGGGAAACTCAGGCACTGCCCACCGGCCAGGAGCCGCACGAGCTGGGTGAGGCCCTGCACTCTGGCGCTGGCCTGCTCCCCGGGGAGAAGCCCTTCGAATGCCGGGCCTGCAGTAAGGTGTTCGTTAAGAGCTCTGACCTGCTCAAGCACCTGCGCACCCACACCGGGGAGCGGCCCTACGAGTGTGCCGAGTGCGGCAAGGCCTTCAGCCAGACATCGCACCTGACGCAGCACCAGCGTATCCACAGCGGCGAGACGCCGTACGCGTGCCCAGTGTGCGGCAAGGCCTTTCGGCATAGCTCCTCGCTGGTGCGCCACCAGCGCATCCACACGGTGGAGAAGGCCTTCCACTGCGGCGAGTGCGGGAAGGCCTTCAGCCACGGCTCCAACCTCAGCCAGCACCGCAAGATCCATGCAGGCGGGCGGCCCTACGCCTGCGCGCAGTGCGGCCGCCGCTTCTGCCGCAACTCGCACCTGATCCAGCACGAGCGCACGCACACCGGCGAGAAGCCGTACGCCTGCGCGCTCTGCGGCGCCGCCTTCAGCCAGGGCTCGTCGCTCTTCAAGCACCAGCGCGTGCACACCGGCGAGAAGCCCTTCTCCTGCGCGCAGTGCGGCCGCGCCTTCAGCCACAGCTCCAACCTCACGCAGCACCAGCTGCTGCACACCGGCGAGCGGCCCTTCCGCTGCGGGGACTGCGGCAAGGCCTTCGCCAAGGGCGCTGTGCTCCTCAGCCACCGGCGCATTCACACCGGGGAGAAGCCTTTCGTGTGTCCAGAGTGCGGCCGCGCCTTCCGCGAGCGCCCAGCCCTCTTCCACCACCAGAGGATCCACACTGGTGAAAGAACTGGGCGGCGGCCCAGGGCCGGCAGTGGCCGGCCCCTTCAGCCCAAGCCTCTTCCCACCACGCCATCAGAGAGTGCCCTAGGAAGGGGAGCCAGTCACATGCCCTCTGCAGGCCCCAAGCCCACGGAAGCCTGAGCTCGCACCGTGACCTGACGGGAACCCTGGGCTGAAGGACCAGTGCCTTTTACAGAGGCACACTGGGGAGGATCCCTGTGCCTGCGACGTGGGAAAGCCTTTATCTGCAGTCCCATCTGCACATGGGGACAGGATTTTCTGCTTCAGCCAAGGGTTATAGCTTCTCCATCCCCAAAGAGATCACACTGCAGAAAAGTCATGGGAATGGCAGAGCACCCACCAATTTATCATCAGAGCCAGGAAGGACATGTAGGGGCTAGGATGAAGGCAACAGTGCAGGGGGAGTGTGAGTGGAAATTGTTTTCTGGGTCAAGATGGCTGGCAACACACATTCATCTCTCTTGGCTCAGAAACCCAGTGAAAACCAGAGAAGGGCACGCATACAAAGTGTGAGGATGGTGGAAAACGGGGCAGTGGTGACACCTTTGGTTTTTTCTTTTTTTTTTTAATTGTGCTTTGGGTGGAAATTTACAGAGTAAATTCATTTTCTATACAGCAGTTCTTAACGTTTTTGTCTTGTAACATTGAATGCATTTCCCTACAACGTAACAGCTCTCTTCTCACTTCCTCCTGGTAGTTATCAGGTGAAATCACTTTGAAGCTGGATGTGGAAGGGGAGTTATCACTAATTTAGGGAAAGCCAAATACTGAGTTGGTACTGGGGGAGGTGGAGGGGTGGTCTGACCAGGCTCATACTGCAGAATGCCAAGGGCTTGAAACGGAAGCTCAGCAACTACAGAATGAGGGTGGGGGGCCCCCAGCAAAGGATCTGCAGAGAACTGAGAAGCAACAGGCAGCTGTTAGAACCCCTGCTCTTTTCCTAGCTGGTAGACAGTTGACTTGTTTGGGTATGCTGGACAATCCCCAAGAAAATTCCCTCGGGGGACTTCCCAAGGGCCCATCCTGACTGCTCAGAGGAGGCCCTCCCATGAACAGGCTGGGAGCTTCCAATCAGTGGATGCCATTAGCACAGGACACAGGCAGGCAAACAATTTAGGGTAAATTGAACAAGTCCTAGTACTTGAGTGGAAGCAAAACTGACCCTGTCCCAGAGAGAGATTCAAAAGCAGTAAGGTTGCCCACTGAAATAAACTAAAAACAGGCCACTCCTTCTAGTTCTGTTCCCCAAAATAGCAAAACATTGAGCAGTCCCATAGTCTAGATGAAAACCGCCCTTCCCTTTGCAGGAGTCATGTATGCAGACACCATAGAGTATGACAATCATGGGACAGTTGTGCTCCTTGCCTGCCACCAATGGACTAATGGAATCTCAGTCACTTTGATAATTAAGCAATTTTGTTTAATTTCCTTAAATACCTGCTGCATTCTGCCCGTTGCCCGTTTGCAAGTAAATGTCCTTTCCTTTCCAAATGCTATTGGTTCTAAGTTTTCCTTCCCAGACAGGCCACCTGTGCTGCCTATCATGTCCCGTTCACTGAAAACACCTACATTAGGTGTTTGTGAGATACAAATATATACGGGTTTAGAGGGAAAATAATACCGTGGTAAAGCAGTGGCAAGCTCTGTTGTGAGATTAGAACTGTTCTGTTTTACAAAATCATTGCAATGAGCCTTTGTTGGTTTTTTACTATCATTTTGTAACATCAGTTATTTGTTAAAAGATGGTCTGATGAGTCTTGCCATACAGCGATATAATAATATAACAGTTTCGCAGTAATTGGGCACCACTGGAGTTCAACATGTGCAGCCCGTCCGCAGGGCGCTCAGTGGAGGTCGAATGGAGGGAGGCCAGAGCACCCTTCGCCCTGGGTCTGGACGGAGAAAATCCAGATAAGGACTGACGACCGCAAGCCCACCTAGAGGCTAGTCTGAGGCACAACATCCAGCCACTCCACAGGGCGAAGCGACGCTCCAGCCGTTCCCGACGAAAAGACTAGAGGTTGCTGGATAAGCTCCAGGGTTACCAAGGGGGCAGTCGGGCGGCAAGGAAAGAGGGCCAAAGGGGAGGGGAACAGGCGAAGCGTCCCCATCACTCACTTCTCTTGTCACTAGGAATCGTAGTGCACATGCGCACTCTTCAAAGGTACCGTCCCATTTGGAGTTGGTTGAGTCCCGGGGCTCGATTTGGAACGAACAGCGACTGCGATTGAGGGGGTAGGTGCCCAAAACGATACGACCCTGTGGACCCTATCGGACCCGGGAAACTGCTCAGGCATGAGAAATCCCTGAAAAATAGCCTTCCGCCGGCCGAGGCAGGCGCTTGCCTGCTAAGGCTTATGGGAAATGTAGTCCGAATTGAGGGGGACTGGGCCTTTGGCTCTAGCGGCTGATTGGCCAGGGCAGGGTTGTCAGGGCAGCGCGTGGGCGGGACGGGTCGACGCGTTTTGCGCAAGCGCGCGGAGAATGGCGTGCGGGCCTGGCGCGGCGCCATTTCTCGGAAGTGGCCTCCGGCACCGGCGCCGCGGTTGAGCTGCTTGCGCGAGACGCTTCACGGGCCAGTCAGAGCTCAGAGCTCGCTGTTTCCGCTCGGTGCCTGCCCTCTGTCGGTGACGCGAGCTGGGCTTACCGAGGATGTGAGGAGCGCGCGGCGACTGAGAGCCCCCCGTGGTCGGAAATCGGAAAGAGCTGGGTAAACTGCGTCGAGTTGGGAACAGTTCGGTGTGAACGGAAATTTGTCAGGTGAGTGTCAGCATTTTCAACGGACATTATTCTGCTCTGAAAATGTGGTGTTTAAATGCAAGAAACGGAAAATAGCGTTTAATTTTTGATGATTTCATTTTTCTATTCAATCTCCATTAAAACGTACTCTCACATTGTTTGTTCCCACAAGTTTCATTTGATAGTTATCTCCTACATGGAAACGTGAACCAGGGCTTTGAACCGGTTCATTCTGGTTCGACCCCCTGCTGGTGCATTTATAGCCCAGGTGTATGGAATCCAAGTCTACATTTTAACGAGCTCCAGGATGACTCTGCTGTGTGCCTGAGAACCACCTGGGGGGCTCGTTAAAATTAACAAGCTCCTCAGATAATTCTTCTGGGAACGCACGTATTCTCGTACAGCTCATGCATACATAGGAATCACCCGGGGAGCTGGTTAAAATGTCTATTTTATTTCAGTATTTCTGGGGTGGAAAAGAAAATTCTCAGCAGGGGGTCAAACCGGAATAAACCTGTTCAAAACCCAGATGTGAACCAGCATCACCAATTAGCAGGAAGAATGGTAAGGTTTCAGTTGGGATGTGCCCGTATTTCCCTGAAAACAACTTGATAGCATCACTGTGAAGTGAAATTTTTCTTCAGAAGGCGCTGCCTAAATGTCTGAATGTTGTAAAGTGGGACTGCCGGTGGCAGAAATGGACAAGCCCTAGGGATGTGAAATGGAATTTCCTCTGGTTCTCACACACTGGTGATACATGCATGGAAGCCTTTTAATTCGTATTGGCTTTAATTCATTTCTACCAGTGCATTTATGCACTGTATTCTCTTTTTATGTAGTCAAAATCTAAGACTTGTATTTACTGTAATGTAAAATCAACCAAACTCACTGCATTACAGAAGCTCACTGCCTCATCTTCCTCCCGTAGAACGGCTGGTGGGTTTGAACTGCCAGTCTTCTGATTAGCAGCCACCAAATGAAAAAAATAAAAAACAACTCACTGCCATCGAGTTGATTCAGACTCATTGCTACCCCCATTGGGTTACCGAGCCTATAAATCTCCACAAATGTAGATTACCCTATCTTCTTGCCACAAAGTAGCTGGTGGGTTTCAAACGCTGACTTTCAGGTTAGCAGCCAAATGACTTATCTACTAAATCACCAGGGCTCCTTGAGAATGTAATAAAAACCAAAACCACCATCAAGTCAATTCTGACTCATAGCACTCATAGTAACCCCCATTGGGTTTCCATGGCCGTAAATCTTTATGGAAGTAGATTGCCCCATCTTTCTTCTGCAGAGCAGCCGGTGGGTGTGAACTGCCAACCTTCTGGTTAGCAGTCAGTTGCCTCAGGCACTATGCCAGTCTTAATAATGTCATATACTGACTATCAACTATGTGCTGATGTTAGTATTATTTCTTGCCCCTCACACTCTAGAATGGGACGTACTAGAGAAAATCCATGTCGAGAATTTTTCAAGTATGAAAAGATTGAAAATAAAAGCACGTGTAAAATTTGCAACACAGACATGGTTGGGGACCATGCAGCAAATTTAGAGAGGCACCTGAAGCGTCACCATACGGATGAATACAATGCAGTGCAGAGTAAGAAGACGAAGAAGATTGAGGAAAGCGTGAGGAGTGTTCAGAATAAGCAACAGAAAACATTAGATGACTTTGCCATTCCAGAATTTCTTCAGGTAAAATTAGATAAGTGATGGTAAAAGTTTAGATTTAATTTTTGCTTAAATTGGTCAGAAATGTTGAGTCAACTCACGCGATGTTATGGAAATGGTATGTCACTTGTCCTGAAAATTTAGCTCCAAAATTGGTGGTGGTGGTTGTTAGGTGCCATCCAGTCGGCTCCAACTCAAAGCAATCCCACGTACAACAGAATGAAACACGCCCTGGTCCCCAAAATTAGTAGTAACCTAGAAGAGCAAAATTCTCGTTGAAAGTAGATGTTGAAAACAGATTGAGATGGTCAATTCTAGGAATTCATGCTTACCTCACACAAGGCAGTAAAATACCATCTGTTGACACTGGAAATGAGGGAATTAAAGACACACAAATTTGTACAAAAAAACACTGTGTATAAAATTTTAGAGAAGTAAAATATTGATTTACAGCAGATTTATTCAGTAACCACAGGTACTATCTCTAACGTGATTAAATTTCCTGATTTGCTCAAAACAGTACTGAAATTAAGTGACAGATGTCAGGGCAAAATAATATCGAAGACACTAACCAGGTTACTTGCCTCAAGCTGTTCCTACCACCCAGAACACCATTCCCTATACTCATCCCTGAGGCCCCTTCTCCATGAAGACCTCTTCACTCCTTTCATTTCTGGGCTCCCTCAAGGGACAGGCCCCAGAGA